GCGCAGCCGGGCCGGCCTCACTTCCGGAGCCCTTAAAGATCCCGTCCGTCACCACCGTCCCAGCTCCTTCTCTCGGAGACCCGTCACGCGAGCCCTCCCGATCTCCCACTTTGTCCTTTGAATTTGTATTGTCAATATCCATTGTGGTCCCACGAGTAGCTAGGGAATTACACGGTCCGCCCACGCAGAGCCCCGCATGCGTGGGTAAAGCTAGATACTCTGGGGTTTCGCCCAATTCCCCAGAGGCATCGTTCGTGACACTGCTCCCCCAGTGACATGCAGCCATCGCCACGATGGTTTACAACTTAGCTTGGGGAGCTGGTCCGCGGCAACGGTCTTCCCTTACCCTTCACAGGGTTTTACTTCCGTGGGGCCAGGTTATAACCGCCACTATCCAGCAGCACTGAGTCCCCTCAGAAAACTCACACCTACTGGGCGTCCTCCTATCCGCCACCTTGGAGACGCGCCCGGTGGGTAGCTCAACCCCCGGAAAATATTTCCATAATAATTATACTAAAAGTCTTCGAGACAACTTTATAAAATTTTTTAAAACTTTTTGTAAATATATCTAATATCTAAATATGTAATATATATAATAATATATATATTATTGTACGAATTAGTAGTTTCTAACACAAAAACTCTTCAGATTCAACAGAGATGTGAACTTACTTGCAATTTGCAAATAAAATTTGCAAATTTTTGTGACTATTTTATTTATAAGTATAAAGCATTAGTTATTGCGAAAATTTCAGGTTACTAAATTATTATTTATATAAATAAGTAATATAAATTTATATAATTTGAATATTAATTATTTAAATAAAAGGAAATTGTCGATGATGCAACAAGCACACATTTGACAATAAAATCAAATCTTTATTATATACCTTTTTAAAAAGTGGAATTTGTAAATTTTGTTCTTTCGGCGCATTTCACATTCGAGATGATACATTTGTGTAAGGGATACATTAAATAGGATTTTTATTTTTCTAACTAATGCAAATCAATTAATTGGAAAACACATACATTTGAACTAATAGCCAACAAACGACTAATTTCGATTAATGGCGAATATATGTCTCTATTGGCATTGTGTACGGTTAGAAATAAATTGTCCCATGCGTTATAAATATAGTTACTATACGGACGTATTCGCAAATTTTTAACTGTCATTCATATTTTAAAGTTCCAAATATTTGACATTTTATTTTCTTATATAAAATAATAAATTTATAGAAAATTTAATTATCTGCTTAGAACATGATATTTTAATACAAAACATCTTTTTGTATTAAATATTTTTTTTTATTTTTCTGCGGGATGACAGTTAATTTTTAAATGGAAAAATTTTTTTAGCTTACCCATAGCTATTAATTTTAAAAATAAATACAAGCAATTGCTATATATTTAATAAATATATTTATTGACAAACAATTTATGTTTAAACTTTTTTATTCTAAAATACAAGTAAGAAAAAAAGTTAATAGATTGATATTTAATAGCAATCGTTAAAAGTTCGGAAAAGTTTAATCTTTCCATTTAAAGATTATTAATTAAATATACACGGGACAACACACATTTATAGCTACGACAAGATATGATACATAAGTGTTATATTAACAATTCAAGAATGCGTAGTGGCATACTAATGACTTTCAGTTTCGTTATTATCTCTATCTAATGTATGCGATTTTTCAATGTTTATGTCTCTCTTTCCGTTCATCTATCTGTCTGTTGTCTGCTGTCTGTCTGTCTGGTTTGTCTGTCTGTCTGTCTGTTAGTCAGTCAGTTATTCAGTCAGTCAGTTAGTCAGTCAGTCAGTCAGACAATTAGACAATCAGTCAGTCGATCTGTCTGTCTGTCTGTCTATCTGTCTGTCTGTCTGTCTGTTTGTCAGCCAGTCAGTCAGTTAGTCTGTTTGTCTGTCTGTCTGTCTATCTGCTGTCTGTTTGTCTGTCTGTCTGTCGGTCTACCTGTCTGTCTGTCTGTCTGTCTGTCTACCTTTTATCCATTTGATACTCTAGCTAATTGATCTGATCTCAATTCTCGCTCATTTTTCTCACTTCAAGCAAAAACTATCTATTTTACATAGAACTTCGAGAGTATGATACGTTCAATCTTTCTTTGAAAGAAAAAAAAACAAATAATGTATTTCTTTCGTTTCAGTAGGCTTAACGAATGGAACAATAGTAGACTATATTTTCGTATCTATCTATCCCTCCGTATGTGTTTGCAAGATAAATAGATTATAGCAAGGATTGCAGAACGATGTGCTCTGTGATATACATATATCATACATAGCGAATTCTACAATTTCTATGTGACATCGTGCACGCGCGATGCATGCGCGATTCGCAAGAAACTCACGGCGTTCTCAGTCACGCGGAATCCTGATTAAAGTAACGTGTGCGCGTGTGTGTGGTGGTCTATGTGTGTGTGAGTGTGTGTGTGTGTGCGCGCGCGCGGGTGTCAATCGCATTTATTTTAAGACAATATGTATATATTTGAAAGCACGAAATAGCATCAAACAAAATAACACATTTATTTAGTTAAATATCGTAATGGTTCGATCCTTTGTAAACAAATTCTAGTTAATTGTATCTATTGTGCAAAGTAATGCAATTTGTAATGTAAGTATAATAGATATAATTGGTTTGAATACGTTTACGAGAGTAATTTGATGCATTTTTTCACCGATATTGTTTGTTTTCTTCAAGATAATTCTTGTCTTCTTTAAATTAATTCAAAATATTGTATTTTCTTTAATAATACGTTTTTATTCATACAAAATATAAAATATTCTTTTCTTTGACTTTAAAATTTGATAAATTAATCGGGTATACAGGGGGTTTCATAATGTCCGTGCCAACGCTTGTGTACGGGTAGAGTGTGATAAACTGAATAGACAAGTTCTTCACCGTTTTGCAATTTTTGCAATAATAATTAAGATGTTAATTAAAAAGGATTGACAAATAATCGCGTGTTGCGCGTAGCTAGACCGTGGGCTGTACACTCTAGGCGTGACAACAACAAGGGTCGCACGGCAACGAAAAATAACAATGCATATTACTTCTGCTCTCGCTACACGTTGTGTATTTTTCGTTGCCGTGCGATCCTTATTGTTGTCACGCCTAGAGCGTACAGCCTACATTCTAGCCGCGCGCAACGCACGATTATTCGTCAATCCTTTTTAATTAATATCTCAATTATTATTGCAAAAATTGCAAAACGGTAAAAGACTTTTCTATCCAGTTTACCGCACTCTACCCGTACACGAGTACACGTTGGCATGGACATTATGAAACACCCTGTATATTGTATTATTGTATTTGTTTAAATTTTTATCTGCATCTTTCTTATTTAATTGTGTAGAATATTGGAATAAATGAGAAAAATAGTTAAAGAATAAAATGCAATCTGCACAAGTAGATATGTTAAAAAACAGCGAAGAATCAATCAACGAAGGATTGTGATATACATTATAATTTTGGAATATATTAATGTTTATTTATAAAAACCACTCACGTAAAATTGCAATGATTATTTTTGTAATTCTGCTCGTAATATTTTTATGGGTTAAAAATTGAAAAGTTTTGAAATTATACAATTTTAATACAAGATATAATTATTTAGTTACATCTTGTTTGAACGGAAGATGCAAAGTAGTAGCAATATGTTGATTATTTCATTAATCTACTTTTTTATTTGGATAATTTTCCATTAATAAATCTTTTATAAATCCGAAACGCATTATTGGAACAAATTGTTTCTGTCCCGATAAATCTTTAAGTCTTTAAAGTACTCTCGGTAAACACGGTATCCTGTAAGGACACCCATATATCACGCGGTTCACTTAATACTCGTCGTAGACACACGCGACAGTGATTATTTATGGAGCGCAGCAATCTATACTTATCGGTTTCTTTTGTGCAACGGAAGGAAACAAAAAAATTGAATTCGTTAGAAAAGAAAGTTTCTATCGATAGGAAAAATATCTTTAACAGCATTTTGTGTTGCGTATACATTTGAAAATCTCTTTATCACACTTTTCACTTTATTGTTTCGTGTGCAGTGTTATCTGAATTTTCGGGTCAACGCATACGAAACAATGAGAAAAATATCTTTAACAGCATTTTGTGTTGCATATACATTTGAAAATCTCTTTATCACACTTTTCACTTTATTGTTTTGTGTGCAGTGTTATCTGAATTTTCGGGTCAACGCATACGATTAAATCTAATGAAGTAGTGTGTGGCATAAATTTATAGATATAAGATAAAATACAATGCATCAATAATTAAGCATATTATCTTTTTTAGAATAACTAAATTAAACAATGCTATTGGATTCTTTCAACATAATTTGGACGTTATGGATGATAAGAAAAATTGTTCTATGTGTCACTCAAGAAGATTCCAGCAAGACGTATGAGACGTCGAATATTCCAATATTAAATGCTTACGTTCATACAACATCTGCGAAAACGTTTTTTTTGTACGGTTGATTTCCTGAGCATTTTGAATATTGATATTAAGACTGGAGTTTATGCACTTAAACAATTCTCTTTAACTGATAACGAAAGAATGAATGTTTTGTGGTTATTGCAGTTATTGCAGTTATTTGATACGAGTTATTATAAGAACTAAGATAGCTTTAGCTGACAGTTATAATAAATTCTTCTTCTACTTAATCACTTTACGGTCTTATACTCGATTTATGATGTGTATTTTGTTATCAATCATCAACACCGAGATGACAGGTCTTTGATTTTGTCTTCTCATCATTCATTTATATCAGAAAAAAAACAGCGTTGATAACAATTTGATTAGAAGAGAGACAAATTACAAAATCTCTTGTACGTTTGCTTGTTTCCGATAACTAAAAAATTTGATATCCATAAAGGCTGATTTAATCGAGCCTGGGAGAAATCCGCAAAATATGTGTTTTCTTTCCCCTATCGCCTTTGACTGGCGACCTATTTCTCTTTCTGCCTGCAGAACAAAGAGCAATCAACGGTGGATGAAACTGCGCACAACGGTGCAATTATCTTCCGCGATCTCTACGATTCAGAAGAAACCACCACTGAAGCGCGAGGACTCGTTCCTGAAGAGGTTTTCCACCAGACAAATACCGGAGAGCCAGGAGACCCTCGACACTGGCGAGGGTGAGGGGGATGCGAACGACGGTAAGGAAATAGGCAGTCGGCGCCGTAGACGACCTCGTAGACCTCAAAAGCCTCCCAAGACCGTGGTCAATCCGGATGAGAACTTTTATTACTATTGGCTGATGCTGCTGTCGGCCTGTGTTCTCTACAACCTGTGGACGCTGATCGTCCGTCAAAGTCTGCCCGAACTGCAGGCTGTGGCGCCCACAGTTTGGCTCGCTTTCGACGGTTTTACCGACGCGGTCTTCTTTTTGGACGTGGCCGTGCAGTTTCGCACCGGCTACCTGGAGCAAGGCCTGATGGTCTACAATAGCAAGAAACTAGCTGGTCATTACCTCAAGTCCAAGTCCTTTGTGCTGGATCTGCTGGCACTGCTGCCGCTCGATCTGCTACAGGTGAATCTCGGTAGCAACCCCATGCTGAGATTCCCCCGATTCCTCAAACTCTATCGGGTGTATAATTACTACTACATGGTGGAGTCGCGCACAGTTTATCCGAATCTCTGGCGTGTGCTCAATCTTATTCACATACTGCTCATACTGGCACACTGGTTCGGCTGCTTTTACTACCTGCTGAGTGAGGCCGAAGGCTTCCAGGGCGACTGGGTGTACCCGTACCGGCCGGGCGAATACGCCACCCTCACCAGGAAATATCTCGGCTCCCTCTACTGGTCCACGTTGACGTTGACGACCATCGGCGACCTGCCCACACCGGAGACCAACGCCGAGTGAGTTACCAAATTGAATATTTTTATTAATGACAATCTCTATTAAAGACTACACACGCAACTTTTGCTTCCTGCTTCTTTTGTTTTTCTTTTATCGCACCGCGTATCTCGCACGTGTCACATACGCGCCTGATCTCGTCCGTCTCGACGAGACTTAAGAGAGAATGGAACACGCATAAGATTCCACGTAACGATGATTCCATTTTTCGAAATTTTATTTTTCTTTTTTAAGATCGATTCCATCAACTTTTCTCAAATGTGAGATATATATCACTGATTGTGAGCCTTTTTAATATATTTTTACGTTGTCGTGTTGGCACATATCGAAAGTCTCGGAATTGTTTTCTGATCGATCGCAAAGTTACGATTCGAAGTATATACGTCAGCACAAGGCTCGAGTTTAGCCTGTATTCACACTGAGCATTACGACGCCCTAAAAATCAAACTCCTTTAAGCTATGATGTGGATCAACAGGTAGCTAGTGCATAATCTTATTTACTTTACAACATTCGTCCTGAGGCCACATGTCTCGTGATTAAACTAATCGCACGACATTTGTGCGTTTGTAAACGTCTATATTATATTTTAATTTTTTAATATTACTCAGTCAGGTCTAATCGTCTTGACCTTGACATATGTTATCAAGGTCATAGTCTTAAATAATAAAAAAAAGATTATAGCCGTTGCTCATTATTTATTATAAAGGTAAAACAAGTTTTATTAAAATAAGTGAAAATGTTCCAAACAACAAAGTCTTACAATTTATTCATCGATAAGTGATATAGGATTAGTTAAGGGGATCCTAAAGTCTGTTTTACCGGCATTTTTTGTGCACACTAATCTTTTTTTTGGTTACAGAATTATATATCCTTTTTCAGAATTGAAATTATATATCCTTTTCCAGAATTGAAATATATACACTAATACAATCTGCAAGGTATAAATGTTAAGCCAAGAAAGAAAAAAAATTAAAAATGTGTATTTCTGTTTACCAACTCTTAGTTCAATATAAAATTATGCAGTTTGTACATACAAAACGAGAAGTTTGCTGATACTAAATTATACAGAAGAATGACATCAAACTTTTAGAAATGAGTTTAGGAATTTATTACAAAAGATTACTATGCATGAAAATGTATGGATATGTGTGTATACAAATCGAGGTAATAAAATAATACAGAGCAATAGATTAGTTCACGAATATAGCAATAAAGGCGTCGTACTAGACGTATGCTAGAAACAGCTGATACACACAGAAAAATACATACTGTATTTAAGTAAATATTACTTGTTTTAAGTATTTTATAAGTTCATCATAAGCATCAAATTTATTCAAAATATATTTTGATCCCAGTAAGTTTAATACTTTAATCAAGAATATTAAATTAGAAAAAGAATTCTATTTGCTTATTAAATTAACCAAATCTGACTTTTCTTCGATACAATTTTATAATATTCTTCACCAAAAAATAATTACTTCTTTTGAGTATATGATAATGAGTTTATCAAAAATTTGTGATGAGTATATTTTAAGACTATTATCAAGAAAATATTCTTCGTTAAAGATAATTGTTACTTAAAAAAAAGTAAGCCTAGTATTTACTTTTCTTAGCAATAGAATGATATTTTTCTGTGTGTATACATTGTGAGATTGACTGTCCGTAAAGCTCTAATCCGTACATCGTATAGTGTATGTTATTTTATATGTACACCTGGTCACACAAATGCCTTAACACATGAAGTTGCACGGGTGTCAAGGCATATTGAGTCGGCGTGTTCCGACTCTAGATATTTTTACATCATGACTATGGTTATAAACACAGCGGCAAAGCTGTTTTGACTGTTTCAAAGCAACTGGATCAATTGATTGATATTATAAATATTAACCTTTATTTGTCAATTGCTCCAGTTGTTTTGAAATAGCCAAAACAGCATTGCCGTTATGTTCATAACCAGTCATGATGTAAAAATATGTAGAGTCGGAACATGCCGACTCGATATGCTTTGACACCCGTGCAACTTCATATGTCAAGGCATTTGTGTGACCTGGTGTACATGTGAAAATATATACAGGGTGTTTCATAATGTCTATGCCAGCGCTCGTGTGCGGGTAGAATGCGGTAAACTGAATAGAAAAGTCCTGTACCATTTTTCAATTTTTGCAATAATAATTGAGATATTAATTAAAAAGGATTGACGAATAATCGCGCGTTGCACGCGGCTAGACCATGGGCTGTACACTCTAGGCGTGACAGCAACGAGGATCACACGGCAACGAAAAATAACATGTATTACTCTTGCTCTTGCCATGCGTTGTTATTTTTCGTTTGCCGTGCGATCCTCGTTGCTGTCACGCCTAAAGTGTACAGCCCATAATCTAGCCGCGTGCAACGCGCGATTATTTGTCAATCCTTTTTAATTAATATCTCAATTATTATTGCAAAAATTGCAAAATGGTACAGGACTTTTCTATTCAGTTTACCGTATTCTACTCGCACACGAGCGCTGGCACGGACATTATGAAACACCCTGTATATATTTTGCGTGCTGTGCAGTGGAAACATAATGGGATTCAATAATGAGAAAAAATAAAAAATATGTCCCTCTCAGACTTGCGAAGAAAACATAGGTAAAGAGGTTAATTATTATTTTTTGATATTTGAAGGAATTGTTTAAAAAAAATATCAATTGATATTACTTTTTGATTGTCACTGAAAATTTTCATTATCAATATGATTTTGAAACAATTTCCAAACAAATAAAACCATAGGCAATCTAACGTGGGCCAGCAATTTAGAATTAGAAAAGCCATAGGCGGTCTATCGTGTGCTGGCGATGTAGAATTATAAAAGCCAGAGGTGGTCTATCGTGTGCTGGCAATTTAGAATTAGAAAAGCCAGAGGCGGTCTATCGTGGGCTGGCAATTTAGAATAAGTAAAGCCAAAGGCGATTTATCCGAGAGCTAGTAAATTTTAATAAATGAAGTCAGAGGCGATGTATTGTGAGCTGACAATTTTTAATAAATATAATCAGAAACGATCTAACGTCAGTTGACAATTTAGAAAAAGAAAAACCAGAGGCGATCTGTCGTGAGTTGGCAAATTTTTATAAATGAAGTCAGAGGCAATATATCGTGAACTGACAATTTTTAACAAATATAGTTAGAGGCGATTTAACGTCAGTTGACAATTTAGAAAAAGAGAAGTCAGAGGCGATCTATCGTGAGCTGACAAATTTTTATAAATGAAATCAGAGACAATTCATCGTGGGCTGGCATTTGTAATAAGTAATGCCAGAGGCGACGTAACATGGGCTGGCAATTTTTAAGAAATATGTATTTTTTTTATTAGTAATCCACTACACGTGTGGACTGTTTGTTTTATCAGATAATTTGTAAAGTTTGCACTTTTTTTCTCGATCAAAATTTGTCGTATAGCTATGATGTACATACGAGACATAATAGACTTATACAATATGTCTAATAGACATAAACTAAATATCATAAAATATTTTATTTGAGAAATATACAGGGTGTCCCGCACAAGGTGAATCACCTCTCGGGTGCAAGTAGAGCGAGTTAAACCGAGTAGAAAAGTCATCTACCGTTTTGCGATTTTCGCAATAATTAATGAGAAATTAATTAAAAAAAGATCGGCCAATTTGCGCGAGTCTAAGCGCGCGGCGAGAAGAGACAGCCCGTTGTTACGTGGTCGTTAGGACGCAAGGATCTAGCGTTACATACCGCTCGTATGTGCCGTTGTCATTTATAGAGCGCTCCTACCAATGATTTATCGCGCGCCTAGTAACCAAATAACCAAATAACAGTGGGCTGTATCACCACGGGTCTCTTCTCGCCGTGCTCTTAAACTCGCGCGAATTGGCTGATATTTTTTAATTAATTCCTCATTAATTATTACGAAAATTGCAAAATGATATAGGACTTTTCTATTCGGTTTAAACCGCTCTACCTACACCCGAAAGGTGATTCAGCAATTATCGGACACCCTGTATATAGGGTGTCCCAAAATTAGACCGACAAATTTCAAGTGGTTACAAAGGACACCAAAACAAGCAAACTTTGTCAATAAATCCATGTCCGCAAATGAACCGTTTTATCACTAGAATGTTTTTTGAAATAAAGTATATTTTTACAGCAGTTGTTCAAAATGGTAGCTATTTATTTCCATACGTATACGTAAATATTGCATCGTCGGTTCATGGATTCACGGAACCTGTAGAATATTTCCGGAACAGCTTGCATATGTGTGCAAGCGACCATCATTCTTGCCAGAAGATCTTCCTCTTTAAGTACAGGAGTCTCGTATAGCAGAGATTTCACATAACCCCAAAGGGAAAAATCAAGAGGGGTAAGATCGGGAGATCGCGCAGTCCAAGCTACAGGACCTCCTCTTCCAATTCAGCGATTCGGAAAATTCTGATCCAAATACTCGCGTACGTCTAAACTGAAATATGGAGGTGTCCTTATGTCATGTTGAAACCACATGTCGCGTCGTTCAAAGAGACATCTTCTAAAAGATCTGGTAGAACATGTTGCAGAAACTGGAGATAAGTGTAAGCATTTATGAGGTGGCAGCAAATACGGACCGATTAAATTATCGCCAACACTATCGGTCCAAATACAGCCCAATTGACAGCTGGTGGTTTTTTCTAAAAGCGATATGCGGATTTTCGTCAGTCCAGATGTGGCTGTTGCGACTATTGAAAAAACCATCCTGAATGAAATATGCCTCATCCGTGAACAGCATGTTTCTGTCAAAGTCAGGCTGGACTGTGGCGACCTAACAACCAACGGGAGAAAACGATTCGAAGGTGATAGTCTGTAATCTCATCGTTTGCTCTCTCTGATTATGGTAAGGATGAAGCTGTTGGTCATGGAATACGCCATACCGTCGACTTAGCGGCCCCTATATGGTGTGTAATTGCGTGAACACTTGTGGAAGGTTCTTGCTCTGCTCCAGGACTTTTTCTTCATATGCTGC